GCCAAGTTGAAAGTAAGTTCAGACAATTTTTTGCTGTATGAAGGTTTTGTTGGAATCCATGCACCAAAACTAGTGGCAGACCTTAGTGAGAATAGTTCAGCTATTTTCAAACTAGGTTATAGAGGATGACCTACGTGCCTGACATAGTCACCTTGGCTTTACAAGTAAATGGCAATTTATGGGGACTTCGACATCGTTTTTGAAGATTGACTCTGTTCTTAAAAGCAGAAAACTCTTTCCAACAAACTTCTTGTCACTATTAGAGTATCCTTCTCTTGGGCAGCAGACCTCTGCACCTCAAGCCCACCCCTAAGAACATCACTTGTTTATGCTAAGATGTTATATTCTCTCTTAATGCCCCTATATGAGTTCAATGCCTCGAAGGCGTTTTGGCTGGCCTTAGCCCACACATCAGTCTTGAGCCCAAGCTCCTCCTTGATCTTTTGGAGCTCTACCTTTACCTTTTTAAGCTCCTCTTTGGTGTCCTTTCCCTCATCCTCAATCCTTTCCTTCTCAGCTCCCAAGTCCTTGACAATGGAGGTCTACCCTTCCACCTACGCTTGCAAATCCTGGACCTAGGCTTTGAGGTCGATATTTTCAAAGGACAGCTAGGCAGCCTTGAGCTCGAAAGCCTTGGAAGCTTTAGCAGAGCCCCCTAGAGCCTGGATCCTCTTCAATAAGTCATTTACATGAATGGCCATCTAGGGGCAAGCACAGCCAAAAAAACAAAAAAAGCCAAAGGTTAGCACCAGGAAATAACAATAAAAAAAAGAGAGAAATTTTGAAAAACTAGAAACTTACCAAAGTAGCGCCAAAAAGGGCAGTAGAAATGGAAGCCCCAAGGGGCATAATTGCAGCCCTTTAGATATCAGACTCTAGGATAATAGAGGCAATGACTTCTGCAGCACGCTTTACATTGTAGATCGGGGAGCCCCACTTATTTTAGCCTTGGGAAGCTTTCCTTTTTCATCCTTGGAGCTCTTTAGAGGTGGTTATGAGGATTTCGCAGCTGAACTAAGAGAGACAGACCTAGGCAGAATATGGGCAACTATCTCCAAAGCCCTCTCAACCTCTGCAGAGAAGGGTGAGGTCGAGACTACACTCTGACCAGGGGCTACTCTAGAAGATGCATGACTTATCTCTTGAGGGAGAGAGGTCTGCACGATCTTCGGAGTGCTCGATAGTGGGAGGAGGATCGTCTAAGAGGAAGGAGGAGAAGTGGAGGGCACAACCAATTTTGGAACCTTGGCCAAGGGGGCAGCGTTGCTGCCTGCTCCAACTTCTACTTTACGCTTACCCCCCGCTCCTATTTCTTTTTAGCAGATCCATCTTCGCCTGACGATCCTTTGTAGTGGGCTTTATTGATGAAGAACATATAAAATTAGGGCAGACAAATATTAAAAGGGGAAGAAGGAAGGAAAAGGTAGCAGTAGAGAGCAAAAATGTTACCTGCCACCTCCTTAGCTCTAGCAACAGAGAGGGGAACGAGAACTTCAATCTTCACATCAGGAGGGCTAAAGCCTAGTCTGGTGAGATCGGAATGGTCCATCAAAGAGGAGTAACTCTCTGATTTCCAGTCTCTGAAGATGAGTAGAACCCTTCTATCCTCTGCTCCTAGCTAAGGACGAATACCTGGGACAACTAAGGAAACAAGTTTAGCATCTAACAACAAGAGGAAGAAAGGGTGGTCTTTTTCAAAACCTTACGCTTACCCAAATTATCTGGACATGCTCAAGAGCGTGGGACTAGAAGGGAGTCAATGGTGTCATTGGGGTTAAATTCCCACGCCGGGCCTGACACAAAGAATAACTGTTTCTTCCAGCTCTTATAAGAGCTAGGCAGGTCAGTGATCAAGGTTGGGGTATTCACCTATTTGGAGATATACAAAAAGCCGTCTAGATTGTATTTGACATTGAAAAATTTCATGAGCAAGGGAATAGTAGGGGTGCCAATTTTGTTTTTCTTGAAAAAAATTAGAAGGCCTACTAAGACCCCCCCCCAAAAAAAATTAGAAGAGGTTTGAGCAGGGCAGACATTAAAGTGTTGGAGGACAGATTTGATGAAAGGGTGAACAGGGAACCTGAGCCCATTCTTGAGGGAAGCTACGAAGAAGCAGGTCTTCTTAGGGACCTCAGAGTCATGCCAAGTAAATTTGTCTGGGCACCAGAACTGTACACCTTGGGAAAAACCAAAACGAGTTATTAGGACTTTCATCTGTAAAAGAGAGACCTCACTAGCACCTACGAGCTCTGCAGCTCTAGAGGCAGCCCCTACGCCCCCAGCACTACTTGAGATCCCTATGTCACTCACCTTGGCTTTACCTTTGCTGGGTTTTTAGGCATCGGGGAGGGGAATACGATACAAGGAGCAACCTCGGTTCCTAAAATAACAGAATTGAAAAGTGCAAAAATACAGAAATCACCTCAGATTTGAGGGATCCAGAACAAAGCGATGAGTAGAGGGCAAGAAGCGTACCTAGATAAAGATGAAGGATGGGCCAAAGCTCAAGACGAAGGCGAAGAACAGCTTCCGTTGAAACCTTAAGTCGAGTAAGGAGAATCGATTTTTTGCGAAACCCTAGGAACACCAACAGGTTGGGAAAATTAAAATCGCAAGAAGAAGAAAAAGGTAAAGTCTAGAGAGAGAATTCAAAGGGTGAAATGAGCCGTTTCCCATCGACGCAGGGGCATTTAAAACTTTTGGTACGTGGGATTTCAAAGTTGAGAACCTGCACAAAAAACCAGGGAGAAAATAATTACATGTAACCGTCAAAAACCTATTCGTGCACATATCGAGGCCACTAAGTGGAGGTCTACCTCAACTCAGCCTTAGTTCAACCCTTGTCCAAGTCCACTTGAACCAAGGGTTGGGGGGCAACTGATGATACGTGGAAATGATTTTAACTAAGTACGAGTTCGGGAAGTGAGGTCAGACAAGGAGGTCAAATAAGAAACTGAGAGCTTAGAGACCCAGACCTTGAGTTCCCTTCGGATGAAAGAGTAAAGGAGATGGGAGGAGAACATCTGGCTAATAGGAGGCATCTCCAAAAACAACGAAAAACAGTAATTAAGGCACGAAACTCTCAACCACCCAAGATCTTTTCCCAAAATCAAAGGAAATCCTGTAGATGAAGGGCAGGGATCTTGCTGCAGATCCCTTAGAGATAGGAATCGGACTATAAATACTGTACAGAGCCTCCATTGAAGAGGGAGAGAGAGAGAGAGAAAGAAACTCCCGATTGTATGAGAAATACTCTGTGATTTATAGTAGCCATTAGTATAGATCCAAGTAGTAAGAGGCTCCCTTTAAGAGTGGGCTAGTCGAACTCCTGAACTCAGTGAACCACTATATAATTTACACATTCTACTTATCCACGTATTAACACCATCAGGTAGTAATCTTGTCTAACTATATATAAGTAAATTAGGAGGGATAAAGGTAACATAGTGATTAGGGACAGTTACCGAACTTGCAGAGTAATCTTAATTAAAATAAATTTGGATTGAAGAATAGACCAATATGAATACACCAAGTAAGAATCTCATAATTAATACCAAAAAAAAATTAAGAATTTACGATGTTATTATTAAGAGTAAATAGCAGACCCACTTGAAAGGTGCCACATAAGTTATTCAAAAATCTAAAAATTAAAAATTTTGAGGAATGAGGAAAGGAGGTTTGGAGCTCAAAGAGGACTGCTACATTGCTATCGATTATAGTATAGATAACTATGTACAAGGATCCTTGTCATTTTGTATAAAATCATGTAATTCTCCGTCAACTCATAGTTTTAAGGAGTTTTTTTTAGGATTCATTCTACAGCAAACTTTGTGGCTTATGAAACCTTTTGGGACGTAAATATTCCACCATCCACTTGGGCCACATGTATATATATAATTTAATTAAAAAAGACGAAGAGGTTTTTTTTACAAACTTCGAACAAAGCTCTGTAGCTAGTCAAATCTCTCTCCCTCATATGCATCTTTCTTATTAAAGAACTCCATGGCGTCATGTTTCCCATTCCCCATAACGATCTACAGATTTTACTATTGGATTAATGTTATTTAGACTAAAATTTTGAATTTAATTTATTGATTTAAACAATGCAATTAGAATATAAATTATTGACCTAATTTATTAATTTAATTCGCTCTAACCCTTAAATTGGTTATAGACCCTATTAAATATTGAAATTAGGTGTTAATTCAATGGTCACAATAAAATCATATTACAAGGTCGAATTTTTAGGTTTCAATAATATTATTCTTGTTCATCTAATAATGTGTTAGTGACGTGGTCCAATAATACTATTACGATTATAACTCTTAAATTTCTTTATGAGAAATGCTATATATTCTAAATTTTTATCCTAAATGTGGATTCCAAATTAATAAGAATGGTTAGATCAGTGAGTCTCAATTAAAAAAGTTAATGATATCCACTCATCCAATGGTCTTTGTTCATTTGAGATGTAAATTTAAGTTACAAAATATTTTTTTTATTCAAATTTTATTACTTAATATATAATTATATCAACAAATTAAGATAGCACTTCAAGTCCACTAGCATTACTCCTTACTGCCCTAAGCCTTCTCTCTCTCTCTCTCTCTCTCTCTCTCTCTCTCTAACACACAGAGAGACAGCTTCGAAACCCAAATGGTCCTCATTTTCATCTTTTCGCAAACTTCAAACAAAGCTGCCTAGCTGGTCAACTATCTCTCTCTTTCTCTCATGCATCTTCAATATTAAAAAACTCCATAACCTCATCTTTCTCATTTGTTATTGGATTGACGAAGATTTTATCAAATATTAAAATATAATATTAATTTAATAATTATAATAAAATTATGTCATGAAATCAATAAATTATGTCCAATTTTAACATCCAATAAATATCTTGCGGCCATAACCCCCTCTCTCCCCCTCTTCCCCCAGCTCCCCACACAGACACAAAAGATAGTACCATATCCAACACCACATACTCCAATTCTTGAGGGAAAATGAACAACGCAATTGAGACAACTGATGCCATACATGATGAAGGTGGGCGAAGTATCGGTAGTTTCGGTTATGGCATCGGCATCTCCGTAGGACTCCTCGCAATATTAGCAATCATCACTTATGGTTCCTGCATCTGCACTCCACGGCGCAGCGCAGTGAACCGCCACCCTTCCGCCCACGGAAGCTCCATAGACACCACCACCAACGATGGCTCGACCCATATTCAAGAAGGACTGGATGAAGCCACCCTCCTCACCTACCCTAAACTCCTCTACTCCGATGCCAAGCTCCATAAAGGCGACCCCATTGCTTCAGGCTGCTCAATATGCTTGGCTGAGTATAAAGACACTGACATGCTTCGTTTATTGCCTGACTTCAGCCACCTCTTCCACCAGAAGTGCGTCGACCCCTGGTTCAAGCTTCATAGAACGTGCCCAATTTGTCGAACCTCACCATTGCCAACCCCTCTCGCGGAGTTCCTCCCCTCAGCACCAGATTCCTAGCTTCCTTAGTATGTATAATAATATTTTTCTTAGGGGAGAAGAGGAGGGGAGGCCAGAAGGGGATATCTGTCAAGACGTGACTATAGCAACTCTCACCCGCTGAGGAAGTCTTTCAGAGGATCACCTTCTAGGGTGAAATCCGCATTTTCTCCTTGAAGATAACCTGCTCATTTGACTTTTTTTAATATCTTTTTTTCCCATTTATCTGCGTTGTTCACAAGTTTTGCTGTCCCCATCTATCCATGTTGTTTCCAATGTGATGAAGTCAGTGCTTGTAGAATCACAAGACTGAAAAATTGCATATAGAGAATATGGGGTATTTAAAAGAATTTAAGCGAAAAACTATGACTTTTGAAAGAATTGCATGTCCCCATCTTTCCTTGGATTTGCATATAGAGAATATTATATCTATATATGCATAATATGCATAGAGTTTGGATTCCAGAATTGTGTAGCTACCCAATGGAAGACTATAACTCGTTATCACGGCGGTGACAACAATACGTCATCATTATTATATGGTGTCACAAATTAATCATAAAATAATAAATAAAATTAGTGAATCCTACTATTTTAACACGACAGAGATAGTTATTGGTGGTTAGAAAAATAATGGAATTTATATAAGTTCATTTGGTATTCTATCACCAATTGGTGATACAACATGATCAATATCATAAGATATTACCGTTATATCTAATATTTTTTCGTTATCGTGGCCTGTTAGAGCTGGGAATATTCGCTGACAAAATATTCGCTAACAAGAAGGGTGGCAAGTATACATATGGAGACGTACACATATACATGACCTTGTAATGTAGCGAATCAACCAGCTGCCACACATTGGGAATACATTGCAAGTAGAAATATTATAAGCATAATGTAATCCCAAGGAGATCAAGCGGTAACAGAAATGAGTTGTCAACTCAGTGTCCTGAGTTTGAATCTTAGTAACTCATTGAGACTAAGTCAAGAGGGATTTATCTCTTATGAATACCTAGTTTTAGAGTAGATGACTTATCTTTGACCGGACCAAAAAACTATTAGTTGAGGTATGTGCAAATTAGTCTAGACAAACTTAACCATCGGACAAAAAAAAAGCATAATTTCTTGGACAAACATTGCAAGTGAAAATATTATAAGCATAGGTCCAATTGACAAAGAGTGTATGCACGGAAAACAATGGTATCCACATGCCCCAGTTTTCCAAGTCGATTATGATACGGTGAATAACACTTTGCACCCTAAAAAATATTTAGATTCTCAATTTATATTTCAAAGATTAAAAATTTTAAATTACACTCCTAATCACATAAAAAAGTAGCAATGTGATCAATCTTAATAAAATTGAGTATGAAATTTTCATGTAAAATACTTCAAATTTAATAATATACAAGTAATTAAGCATGAAATTAGAAAAAAATATAAAAAACTATAACATAAAAAATTGTCAGATTAGTCCCTGCCCTTTCCACACCATCTCTTCCTTCCACCACTACTTCTTGTTTTGCCCTTATCCTTCCTCTCTTAATTCGTCCTGCCAGCTGACCAATCGACTCAAGTTACCACATAACCTCAGATGTCGTTCCCCACCAAGTACAAAATTCTCCACACCTCACTTCCTAAATGGAACCACAATCTACACAGTGAAATATATTGAGATAAATCCTTCCAATGGGGATCAAACCATATCCAAGGTAACCAACAATGTCGCAGCAACACCTCTGGGGGTATTCAAAGGTGCAAGGTGGCTCTCAACTAGTTGATCATTTACTGTTGTGACCTCTGAACCTCCTTTAGAGATATCTAACGGGTTGAAGGAACGTGAACCCACACATTAATAAGTGAGAAAGGTCCATGTGTAGAGTCCACATCCCAAGAAGTTATTGTACTGTCAAAACAAGGGCAGTCCAAAGCCAAGTTAGGTGATCCTGTCTTGACAGTTCGTACTCAATCTCCTAGAGCATTATTAGCTGGTAAAAACTCAGCCAATCTTCTCACACGCTACATGGAGCAATGTGCTGAAGAAAGGGACTGTTATGGATCTGGGTAATGGGGCTCCAACTATGGCCGTAAACATCTGAAATTAAAGTATTTTGAAACTTAGGTGGAAACAGGACAGTGGTCGCACCACCCCCGGAGGTAACAGAAATAGGCAGCAAAGAATTGGGAAACTAGCCCAGTTGGATTTTTTTATTGACAAAAAATGGCCTCTCTCATTTGATATAGTGATTGCTCAGAGGAAGTGAAATCCACATGGCCTTATGCAAGTCCTTGCTAATGATCAAGGATTCTTCTTTTTCAATTTTCTGATGGAAACTCCAAAAATAAAATTCTAGAAGAAAACTCTTGGTTATTTTCTAGAAGAATCATGGTCCTCAAGAAATGACAGCCCAGAATGCAACTCAAAAAGAGGCACACACCAATGTCCCAATTTGGGTATAGTTATACAACATCCCATTGGAATATTGGAATGAAGAAGGCTTAGGCTACATGTCTAGTGCTACTGGCAAGCCCCTCTATGCTGATGGACTCATAGAAAATGAGCAAAGAATCAATTTTGCCAGGATCAGCGCCCCATGGACTCATTTGAATTGAAAATGTAAAGTGCTCAGCCAGATCAGGAGGAGTTGAAATAGTGGTCCTGTACCAATAGAAGCCTAAATTTTGTATACATTGAAAGGTTTTTGGCCATACTAGTTTGAACTGTACCAGGAAACAAGAGTGGATGAGAAAAGAGGAACGCACTAAAAAAGGCAAAGTGGTTGCTACTAATGTTGAAACCTGTGAAGGAAAAAGAAATGGCAAAATAAATCTCAGCAGAATCAACCAAAGAAGATCCAACTAGGCTGTTGTTAATAAATCGAATTTTGATCTGAATCTGATCTGAATTCGAATTCAAATCCGATTAGCTAGATATGAATTAATAATTTTTACCTATTATTTGAATCCGAATTCGTTATATTATATTTAATGGATTCAGATTTGAATTTATCAAATTCGATCAATTAACAATCTGATCTGAATTATATATATACTTTTATTTTTATATTTTATATCCCGTGAGTTTATATCAACTGACATCTTTTCATCTCTCAAATTTTTTTCCTACTATCTTCTTCTTTCTTATTTATAACTAAAATTGAGGTTGACATATTTAGTTTATGTTGCTTGTTAAGGCTTCGAAAGAGTAAGCGTTCTAATTTTTTTGTTATACAAAGTTGAATTTGTTACAATTTGTGAGATATTTATAGGTTGATTTTACTTTGTACATAAATGGATCGGATGGATTTTCATACCAAATATCCGAAAGTTAATGGATTCAGATATAGATTAAAATTTTCAAATCCATTATATAATCGAATCAAATCAGATCTGTTACATCATGTATATGTAATTGACTAATTACATAGAGTCCATTGTAAAATTTCAATCATTTCCATTGTCATGATGCTATAAAGTTCAAGATCTGAAAGCGTCATTGAAATGAGAAGATTAAGCATCAAAACTACATCATTCAGCCTTCGTGTGCACCTTCATATTTAGAACAAAGGTAATGATCTAGACACCTAAGATGAACCCTTATTTATTTTAATTTAAAATAATTAGGATGAAAAATAGAATTGAAAGCGATCCAATTATGACTCCTAGGTAATTTTAAAATAATTTTTTTTCTAAACAATTAATGACCCTTTTTGAGTAACACCTTTTAGTGCTTAAGAGGATAAATTTTTGCATGATTTTAGGCTTAAAAATCTACAATGACCGCCCTATGCTCGCTAGCCTTTGAGGATCAACATAGGGCTCCTCTATGGGCTTGCTCAAGCCGTATCCATTGTTGCTCGAGCGGTGGTGGTCCTTGGCTGGTTTGAGACGTTGTTTTTTAATATCAGTTTTCATATTTAGTAAGACTACCCTTATTCCGAGCCTACAAATAGATCATGTCTTTCCCAGATTTAGGTTAAACCTCTTGTGAGATTTCTAAGAGAAAAAAACTATTTTTCTACCTTGAGAGTTTCCACCACAACCTAGATCCCTAAGATCCAAAGGCTACTACTAGTGATTATGCTCAACCTCACAAATTGGTGTTGAAGAACTTGTCAGTTGACAAACTCATTGGTGTGTGCATACCAAAGATTATTGGCATGTCCATAATTGCTCGAGGCATAAACGAACTGTGCAACGGGAGGTGAAGCTACACCAGACGTTAGAGAGGGACTTTCAGCGGAAAGACATAGTCAGGAAAAGAGCATCTAACTATGGTATTAGTTGTGGTATAAGTCTCGAGTAGTTGTATGTTGATTTGGAGATTAGTATATTAGACTTTGGTGAACCTCGAGTGGTTCTCTGCGATTTTTCTTGATGAGGGTTTTTCACGTCAACAAATTGCTTGTATCTTTTATTGATTATTGTACACACTTGCATTTGTTAGCACAAGTGCGCACTACGTGTTTGATGTTTTGAATGTTTGATACCATATCATCTACAATTGGCCACTTGGGTTTGTAGATTTGCGATCGACATAAGATTGATTACAAGTGAATTAATTGAATATTAATTTAATCAATTGTCATGTGTGTTAATGGTTGTGGTGCCTAAAAGGGTTATCATCATTAATTTTCACATTCGATTGAGAAGAGGTAATTCTGGTAGACAAAATTTTAATTGGCATTTAATTTGGACAAAAATTAAAAATATATTCAACTCTAGGTACAGTATCTTGGTCTCCACATGTATAATCATGAAGGAAGATTCATATCAGTTTCTCTCTCCAAAAAGAACAATTGGTATCAAAGTGTGGTTGCCCTGAGATCATAGACACTAAGTAGGCTTATCTTGTTTATTTGATTACTTGCCTAGCTACCTCCAAGAGATATATCATTACTACAAATTAGTTTTGAATGGATTCTCAAAAGGAAGAAGGATCAATTGCACGATTGTCTCTCTTTGATGGTTCTACCTTTGCATATTGAAAAATTTGTATAAGAGCATTTCTGAAATCAATTGATGAGAAAGTTTGGGTAACTGTGCAAGAGGGTTGGAGTCCTCCCACTACCACCACACAAGTCGAAGGTGGTAAGGCGGTGGTTGAAGTCAAATCCCCAAAGGTATGGACTAAGAATAAGATTGAGTCCGCGGGGTGGAACTTGAAAGGCTTGAATACGATATTCACTATAGTGACACCAAATGAGTTCAGTAGAATCGCAAATTGTGAGACCTCCAAAGAAGCTTGGGACATCTTAGTTGTTTCCCACGAAAGGACTTCCATGATGAAGATGTCTAGACTTTAACGATACACCTCTCACTTTGATACTTTGAGGATGAAAGATGATAAGACATTTAGTGAATTTTATCCTAAATTGTGTGGTATTGTAAACTCATCAATTGCATTAGGTACCAAGGTTGAAAATGTGGCCATCAAGTGAAAATCTTAAGATCTCTACAAAAAAAGATTTTCATGTTAAGGCCAGATCCTTGTAGACAAGTGTTAACATAGAGTTGGTATCAGTGGAAGACCTAGTAGGGGCTATCTTGACCTTTGAAATGAACCATTCATCTTTAAAATAAGCTGAGGGCATGTCCTTGTGCTCAATTAATCAAGAAGAAGTTAAATTCCGGTCACCCTGATTAGGAGAGGAGGACCTTGCCTTGATTGCAAAGAAGTTCAAAAAATATTTCAAGACTAGTAATATTGAGTCCTCAAAGTCAAAAAGAAAGCCTAGTAGACCTACTCTTAATGAGGGAAGAGAGAAAGGAGGAAGTGACTCCTGAAAAGAATTTTAGAGAAAGGGACAAGGCTTTCAATGCTTTAAAAGTCAAGGATTTGGACATATTACATCGGAATGCCCAAATAGAAAGAAGAAAGATTTTCCCAATGAAAAGCAGAGGGCTATAAAAGCCAAGTGGAGTGTGATAGTGAAAGTGAGTCGACCTCGGATGATGACGCCTCTTCTCAAGATGATGAAGAGAACTTTATGGCTTGTGTAGGTCCACTCTCCTCTCCTTTCCTCCAAGAGAAACTTCCACAGGAGAAGTTGAAGCAAGTCCTACCATTGAGGGAGATGACTTGGACGAGGAAATCCCTATGTGTGTGGAGGATGAAGATTGCTATAAGGATATACAAGATGTGTATGACCAATTACATGTGCAATTCCTCAAACAACAATAGACGGTGCTCTACTTGAGTGGTTGGATCAACTCACGTGAAGAGGAGACGAGAGCCATTCAATTGGACTTGGTGAAGTCCAAGGCCCAAATTTGTGCCCTAGGGGATGGGAATAAGTCTCAACTTGATCAAGGGAGGTTTCTTGAGAGAGAGTGTCATGAGCTTGTCAAATCTAAGAAGAATCTTGAGTCAAAATGTGTCAAACTTGATAAAGATCTCCGTGCATCAAATGAACTCTCTAAAAGACTTCCCCAAAGCAATGAAAAGTTTGATAGAATTTTGTCTATGGGAAAGAATATAGGTGATTAGCGTGGTTTAGGCTACAGAAATGAAAAAACCACACATCTTCCAAAACTGTATTTGTGAGGGTATCACCAACCCATTATCCCCACAAGTAAGCACAAACTCAAATTTTTTTGAGAATGGTAAGGGTAGGAATTCAAAGAAAGATACCCAAACCAATCATGATTTGTGCTACACTTGTCAAGAACATGGTCATCATAATAGACATTGCATGAATAATAGAGATGTCTTGAACAAGAAACTTGTGCATCTAGCTAGTCAATCCAAAGCTTTAGATTTTCAAGTCTTAATTTTTTCTAAGCTTTTGGAAAGGTCTTGTGTGTCCGGGCATAATCATTCATTATCTTTATATGGACCACATTCTAGGGTGCCCAAGGCTCTTTCTAACCCCAAGGTCAAGGTTGATCTACACACTTCTGGAGGGAAGAGAGCTAGTTATTCACCCATTTCCCAACCTAGCTTGAGTTTTAGGAAGGGAAAATAAGTTTGAATGACCAAGGAAGACCTTAAGAATCTCACCATCTCAACCAAGTTAGAGGCCTCAAGTGGTTCTAGCAAGGTCATGGCTCCTAAGAAGTAGGAGAGATGAGAGTATGAATTTAGGTGATCATTCATGAATATTATTGAACACTCTAGGGTTATACACTTGTGTGTGTGTGTGTATATATATATTTATATTTATTTATTTATTTTGTCATTTGTTTTTATATATGAAAATGCAAAATATATGAAATTTGAAAAACTAAAAACAAAAGAAATACAAAAATTCAAAAAGAGTTTTGATGTCCCTTTTTTATATTCATTATTAGGATTTATGGTAAAAAAAATTTATTTGTTGTCCTTGTCTATGCATTTTTTTATGAACATGTTTTTATTAAAAAATTCAAAAATATAGGGAAAAAAAGGCCAAAAAGATTTTTTTTATTTTTTATTTTTGTTTATCTGATGATCATGGTAATTCACAATTTGAAATGTTCATTGTTATGAGTCATATTAGGGGATAGAGAACTTAATAGTATAAATTCAATTGCAAGATTCATTAGCCAAAGTCACTTTCATCCTAGCATGCTTACCTTTGAAAGATTCAAAATCAAGTACACGCATGCCACTCACATTCACACTTAAGAGTTTGATTTGTTTAAATTATTAATGACCTTAAAGGACTCTAAGTGTGGATGATACGTGAACACATGACTGAAGGTTAGTTAAACTCCAATCCCTTAAAGGATGTCAAAGGTCAATTGTGAGAAAAGAGCCCAATGCGGCCAAATCTAAAAAGATGGGGCAAAAATAAATGGTTAAAAACAATCGCACTTAAATTGTGAGAGTACTTATGCTTAATTGAAATTGCTCATTTCTAAAGCTCATATAGCTCAAGTTTATCATGATTAGTAACATATACTTAAAGTACGGAATTCACAATCGTGGTGATTGAAGTCATAGAGTATAAGAGATAAAAAAAGGGGGGATTTGTCAAAAAAAAGAATATGTATGACACTCACTAACTGGTCATGTTTTCACTTAGGCAATGCATTAAAATTTCATGATGAACTTATTAATTATTTAAATCTTAACGTTGATTTCATGCACTATGCACTTGAATTTTTCAAAGTTGAACAAAACTTAATCACGTGTGTAAAATTGAACCAAGTGAGGAAACATTGCTCTGGGATGCATGAAATTGAGTTTTATATCATTGAATTTGCCTTAGAGTAATATAATGGGATGAGGAATTTTGGATGGATCTATTAAAATACAAATCGGTGTAATTTTCATGATTATTTGAATTTTGAGCATTTATTGTTTAAAATTAAAAAATTACATTTGGTTTTAATCCAAATTCATTGATGCATTTCATTGAATAGAATTTAGGTTTAATTTACATCGTGCATGCATGCTAGGACAGATTGGTCATGGGTTGAAGTGGACTGGACTACAGAAAATAGAGGCAATATGCTTCAGGAGCCGCTCGAACGACCTTCACACCACTCGATCAACCTCTTTTTAGTCGACGACCAGGGTTTTAAAATCATATTTTGGTTGTCCTTTTGTATCCCAAACCTAATCAATCAAGGCTGAAGCCTCCCATGACCCTAATCTAAGGTTTATAAACTTTCTAAAACTCTTTCTTTTGAGATCTAAGGTTGATTCATCGTTCTACTACAAATCCACAAGAGTGAGACCTAGACTCTTTGAGTGAGTACTGAGATGGCACCATGAAGAGAGAAACGAGTAAGGGTGGCAATTGTATCGTGTCGTGTCGTGTCGTGTTTGGGTCATGTCATGTCGGGTTCGAGTTTAAGACACATCAACCCAAACATCACCTGTGAGTTAAACGGGTAATAGGTCATCTGGACACAAACACAACCTGACACAAAACACGACTAACCCGACACGAACCTTAACTTGAGATTTGCGCAGGTCGTATTCAGGTAAACACAACCCAACCCACCTAATTAATTTATAAATATCCTAAAATAATACAAATATCCAAAGCAATACAAATCTCCTACCCATTAACTTCATTACAATTCATCAAATCGAAAGCATTACAATTCATTAACTTCAAAACAAAACAAAGGGCCTGATTCGCCTGAACATGTGCTGCAAAACAAATTGTGTTGTAGTGAATACATAAGTATTCAAAGCAAAACAAAGGGTTGAAAAATAAAACTTCAAAGAAAAAAAAATTAAAATTACAACTCGTAAAAAACCAAAATGAAGGGCCAGTCATCCATACAACCAACCTAATGTGTAACATTCATACCACAAGAAAAAAAGCAACAAATACAAAAACACGATAGGGTTATAATTAAATTTATTCATATAAAATATAATTTCTAAAAGAAACAAATAAAAAATAACACTAACTTAGTTTAGGTATGTAAGTGTAGAAAGAGAGAGAACAAAAGAAAGAGAGATCTGTGATGGAGGTTTCATGGAATGAACTTCATCTTAGTTTTGTCTGAAAGTGAAAGATTGAGAGTAAAGAGAGAGAGATAGAGCTGAGAGTGAAATACTAAAATTACCTTCTTTTCTTGGACAATCGGGTTATATCTGTTGGTGAGTGATTCACAGTGGTGGATGGTAGCAGTGATGATAAGTGGTGAGTGATTTTCAAAGGTGGTTACCAGCGGTGAATGATTCCAAGCCAACAGCGGAGGAAGGGAGACCAACAGACAGAGCAAGGAGGCGGGTCTATGAAATGAAAATGTGAAGTTAGGGTTAGAAAAAAATAACTTTATTTATATAGTGTCGGTAAATTTCGACTCTAAATAGGATAAGTGGGTTTCTGTCAACCCGATTAAATACACAGGTCAATTTCAAGTTGAGCGGGTTGAACTCGAACACGACCCTTTAACACATCATGTTGGCAGGTCGTGTCATAAATGGTTTGTGTAAAAAAATTGTCAACCCTATTCATGTCTAGTTATCGTGTTGTGTCAAAAATTGTCACCCATATTGAAAAGTATACAAGGAGATTGAGGAGAACTTTGATGAAGCTACTCGATTCTTGACTCCAGAATTTGCAGAGAGGTTCAGAAGAGAATTCTCCCTCAGGCCAATTTTGATTGAATGGGGAGTAAACATCATGGAGGACAATCATTCAACCATTACAAATCTAACCAACCGTGGATGGACTTAGATGTTTACAAATCTCGTCACGTGTGATGATAGCCTGGTGAGAGAGTTATATGCACATATATGTGATCTCGATCCTCAAGTTGACCACTTTATTACATATATCTGAGGTATTAAGAGAATGACTATCTTGGTGCAAGGCCTGTAGAAGACTGGTCTCCTCTAAATGTTTTGGCCACTAAGTTGTACGATATTAACCATCATAATAATTGGGTTACATTGAATTTTTAGCAAAAATACTTGACCCTAGATTATAGGATGCTAAGTCTAGTGGCAAACTACAACATAGAACCGAAAACCCATATCTTTGACTATCCTACCCAAAAGGCACACATGTTTTATGCTTTAGGGGAAGGATTTACCAAGGGTAAGGAGTAGTTATCTTATGTAGTGATTAGCTGAAAACCCCGTGGGCCTTGAACAAGATCTCAATAAAGCAAAGTCAGACCTAAACTGAGTATGTTGTAGTGGTTAAGGAGCAATCCCCACCTATTTTTCCTGCAACTAGTACATCTAGGACACCTCCACCACCTGAGTCAGGTTCAGATATCTTTCCAGCCTAGATGGTATCACTTTCTTAGAGGCTAGATGCACTAGATGGTAGGATTGTGAGCTTAAAGGAGACCTAACAGATTGTGATGGGAGCAATTGCACGCAGATTTGGGTGACTCAGTAGGTTGTTGAAGGGGAAACAGATTTCAGGTGAGCCAACGTGACTAAGGAGATGGTGGTGATGCATCCATTTGAGCTGTTGATTTTGTAGACTTAGTTTAGGCCATATGTGAGCTTGAGAGTGTTTTATATTCATTGATGGTTTGTACTAAAGTACTCTATTTATTGGTTTCTTGTTGACTTTTTATCTTTTGTTAACTTTTATATGTTTAGCTCTAGTTTTTTGTTGTTGTGACGTACTCTTAATCCTACTTATTGATGTTGAATCATATTTGACTTTGAGTTATATACCTTATTTGTCCCTTGCTTAGTTTGCTCGCTTAATTTGGCTAGTTGTTATGCATCTATACCTTTTTTCTCTATTATGTAACTATGTTAAGTCATCA